GTTAGACATTGATCTACCAATCTTTAGTCCCGAGCAAGCTCTCAAGCCAGTCCCTTTGCTTCGCAAAGCAAACTCAAGGTAGTCCTTACCAGGCTACCTTTCGTGAAAAGCTCTGTTCCTGAGACCTTTCGCCTGCTTGGACCAAACAGGCTTGTCTCCAGACCAAACAATCCACGGCGAAAAGTCCCTGAGTCCGGCCCTCTTCAATCCCCCTTCTTTACCCTCAAAGCAAAGTGTTTGACAGATTGACAGGATGAAAAAACAGAAAGCTTCATTGCATGGGAGCTGCATGCAAAGTGTGCCAAATACCCAAAACTAACAGAAACACCCAAGCACCCAGCATTGCGGCAACACCACGTCCTTGGGCGCAATGGCAGAGCGGCGGGCTTTCTTCTCCGGGAAGCGCTGCGCCTTCTCACCTGAGGTCTCCTGCACTTGTGGCTCTACTGTCAGATTTCACCGCTTTTAGTCTTTGGTGCCAAAAAAAGGGATCGATCTGAGGGTCCTGGTGCCCGTCACCCTTTCAGGCTACATGCTATCGCTGCTATACGTTGTGCCACTTAGAATGTCTCCTCGAGCTCTTCCAAGCTCCAAGGTAGGCGTTGAGCCACTATGTCAGCAAGTCGCATGAAGCGACTTTCCAGCCTCGGCTGCCACACTGTCTTCACATGAGCAAACCAAAAAAAGACACTAGAAAATCAGAAAGCAACACAAACAGCTTTTGGTGATGTGTGTTCAACAAAGCTGGATTTGCTCCACTTGACCTTTCAAAAGCTAAGGTTCACCAAGGCCCGGGCCATTCCTCCAAAGCTGCAAAAAAGAATGTGACACGCAACCTGAATCATTCCGACCGGGGCTCGACTTTGTCTCCCAAACTATGCTGCTTGGGCTTATTGAGTTTTATATTGGGAGCAAGATTTACTTTGACGGTGCATGCCCATTGCACCCCTTTGCGGGGGAAGAAATTGTAGTGAACGGGGATTGCTAAGATCTCAAAATTTGGTAAAGCATGAAAAAGCACTGGAAGCAAACTGGAAATCATCATCTGTGTATGATGAGATGTTGACGACTATATACACGTGCATCCCATTCCAAGGTACTCCGCATCCGGCATCTCCAGCATGGGTGTATCCATAAAGGAAAGATCGACCTGCCAGTGATCAAGGGCAATCTCCCAAACTGGGAACTGTTTGCAAGTCCAGTCCATGCGGCTTCTGGCAGGGCATGTTTTGAAACTGCAAGACTTACGTCGCTTCAAAATGATGTGAAGAAGGCATCTACATACTCGCTTGCGCTTTGCCATCATTTGTGCCTGTGGCAACTGCGCTGCTAAAGCTGCTGATGCTTGCGGTGTAGTGCGGCGCCGCGGCACCTCCATCCGTTGTGTACAAAAAAAAATCCGTCAGCCAATGAGAACAAAAAGAGTACAAAGAAGGTAAAGGCCCTTAGCTTCTTTTTTGGTTTCTTTTCTCTGTCAGTGGGTTAGAGTAACAAAAGAATCTCCAGAAGAACTGAACTGTGACTTGCTAGACTCGATAACAGAGCTTTGAGAATTGTTCTTCCCCCTTTCAAAGTCCAGCGCTCTTGCTTCCATCATGGGAGTTGAAGGGCACGTTCGGTTCGGAACAAACGGTAATATGTTTTGAAGATGCTACCGTACTAGACTCAACCTCTTTGCGGCCCTGAGTTATGTAGGTCTATGCAATGTGGTACGACTCTAGCTGCAAAGGGGAGAACCACTTCATTATCCATGGAAAATGACGAATGGCACAAGTGGCATACCAATGACGTGCAAAAAATACCCCAGGGCCCCATGCAGTCTGATTTGTAACGACTGGTTCAGCCAGCTAGTGCGGAATGAATCTAGATCTTCCAGTGTCACGAAGTCCAGTCACATGATGTGGAGCACAAACCCATGCTTGATAGGAAAAATGTCGAACCACCGTCGTGCAGTATTCCTTCAGTTGATTCAAGTCAATCCACCATCTTGCCCCACCTCGGGAACATCGCTGCGAAGCTCCTGGACCATTTCCGAGGAGTCGTAAATCATCTTTAGCTCATCAAAAGACCTGGCCACTTGCGTTGAGCTCAAAAGCAAACTATGCCGCAATAAACGGAGATGGCTAAACCGGGCTTGAATGTTTATTCTATTAGAACCAAGACAGCCTTCGACCAGCACCGACCACATCCGACCACACTATACAGCAAGAAATTGCCGGGCAAACGCATGCTTCGGGAAAAGCTCAAACTCTGCACAGAAATGGAAGAAGGCATTGAAGGACATGATATCTGCAGGTCCCTCCTGCAAGGGCTACTATGGCATGGCAAGTGACGTAAAATGCTAACGGAAACGATGCCTAGGAGAGATGACAAGTTGATCACTGATCACTATATACTGCTCAGAAACTCAGAGTGGGCATTGTCAAAGTGTTCAGTTTGATGTGATTCATCCTCATCAAAGAGCCTTCGCCTTCGCATCTATCGAAATTCAGGTCAGGTGGTGAAATGTCACTCATTCCCGTGGAGGCATTCTATCAGGCCAGAGTTGAAGTTGGGACAGCTAAGACAAGCCACCATTTTGTGATACACAGGAACCTCTAATCCGTCCAACCTAATAGCCACGGCCTCCAACCTATTTATAATTTTCCTCAAAATCTAGGAGCCAAATCCTTAGTGCAAGCGCTTCTTCAAGGAAGCTTCCCCGGCCGCCCTCTCAGGGGAGTTTCCTTGAAGAAGCGCGAGCTATCCTGCGTCCAGTAGTTAGTAGCCATTTAAACTACTAGCTAGGTAGCTATTCCTTAATTAAGTAGGGAGGGGGAGCGGGCTTTAAAAAAAGCTAAGACAAGCAGGAACCTCCACTTGATTGCCTTGTCCTTCCACTTGAAGAGAACTTGTCTTAGACCGAGTCTTCGGTGCCCCGTCATGCCCCCCCGATCTCCCTGTACTTCAAGGTCTTGCGACTGTGAGCCTTCTCATCCTGTCACCAGCTTTCAGCACTAAGCGGCTGACAAAATGGTTCTGGGCCCACAATGTGCATTGGACCATTGAGGCAGCGGTGTTCTAGAATGATTGACAAAGCTCTGGCGACAAGGTCGAGCAAGTTCTCCACTATTCTTGCCTTCTTGCTGCGCCGAGCACCTTGGCAACGACGCCCCTTGCTTTGCTACTTAACAGCATTCAACAAGTCTCTGTCTGGCTTGAAATCCTTGCTCGAGCTCCGCACCACTTTTGTGTCTAGGTGTGGGTGTATTTGGCTCAGAACCCTCAGCGTTCAGCAGCGTCAAAAGGAATTGAAGATCTGCAAACAGCTTTGAGGCCCTGCATCTGCAGTGCTGAATTGGTTCCAACATTAAAAACTTAAACTCACAAGTGCCACGCTAGTAGTAACAAGTGCCACGCTAGTAGTAACAGGTGCCTTACTAGTAGTAACAATGTTCGCTACTAGGAACAAGTGCCTTACTAGTAACTTTCCGACCTCTAGAGACCTGAAGCGCACCTGGGCATCCAGACATTCTCTGAAGCGCTAGAAGCTGAGTTGAAGTCCGTGCGCGTTAAGTCTGCCTGAACTCCCAAGAAGGACGAGGACGCTGAGTGCGTTCAAGTTTACTTTGGGAGTCTTGAGACTTCAGGGATGCAATGCAATCATGAGACAGAAGTTCAGTTTGCAATGTTTGCAATCATCATTCAAAAACACTTTGCTCTCCTTTGAAGATGAACATCCAAAGAAACTCTTCCGAGCAGCAGGCAGAATATACGTCTGCATATTGTTCAAAAATGCGCGTGAACAAAGGCCTCAACCACAAGCAAGTGCACTAAACTGAATCTTCGAGGGTCACAAAGCTAGTCATAAAATAATCAAGTCGAAAACTCTTACAAAATGAACGATAGCTTAGTAGTTATCCCCGAGCACGTCCAACACCATCCAGCACCGCACTTTCCTAAGTGGTAAAGTTCGCCTGTCAGGCACCTAAGCTCTGCGGGGGTTGATGAACCGTCTGGGTCACCATTGCCATGACCCCAAAGTTCCTCTTCATCTAACCAAGCGGGAGTCAAATAAAGCTTGCTTGCGTGGCTGAGTTGCTGGAAGCGGCTAGCAAAGTGCAAGACCTGCCGCACACAGGAGGACAGGCCGAATGATTTGACAAAACTCATTCATCAGACCAGTCTGTGAGGAAGACTGTGAATCACTGGAACCAACGCTTTGAATCATTGAGGGCCTCGCCTCTGGCTCTAAGAGTTGGCTAGACAAAAGCTCCCCCAACACCACTTTGGCCGTGTTCTCGTACCTCATCTTTTTCAAAGTGGAGTCTACGAACATCTTCCATTGTTAACTGGTTCACCCAGAGTGTTGACGCTTTGGCCTTTAAAGTTCAGTCAAGCGTCATTGGCACAAAGCAAGAAGCCAAGCAATGCAATGTTTCAAGGACGATAAACATATCCTAAGGATACTGCTGGTTATCTTTATGTAAAGCGACCCCTTGCGATGGGGAAGGTGCAGGGGTGAGCTGGGCGGTGACGTGCAAATAAACTATGCTATCAGCATCCACGTGATTCAATGGCTGGGGTCGAGAAAGCTGATTATATATATATATATGATTACAGTGATATCAATCATATCATTTCTACTTTGGCTAAAAATGCACATCTGCGTTTTGTTCTTGGAATTGCCATTCAATTTGGACTTCAGTGGACCTTCCAAGATTGCTTCAGCGCTGTGCTTGTGCATGAAGTTTCGGACGGTTTGAGTTCCTTCTTGACATGCGGTGCAGTGAGGAGGTCAAGCGACACCCTCCAAGCTTCTACTTGGCAAATGGCCGAACTGCAAGATCAAAGTGTGTTGAATAGAACAGAACATGTGATTTCTGCATGAGGACAAACCAATGAATGGATGAATGGATGTGGAGCACTGTTGGCATAAACTGGTTTCAACATTTGGGCTGGGTTTTGAGCGAGAAAAGGAATGCCACAGGCTAGGGAGGCAAACACACGAAAGGCAGCAGCACGGACTTTTCCAGCATGGATACTACTTTGCTCCACATCTCGATTATTGGATGCGTTCAGGTAGACAAGTCTTGTGAAAGGTACCGGCTTTTATTTGGGCAAAGCAGCCTCTGTGCGTTCAAGAGGCAGAACTTACGGAAAAGAAGAAACGTCCAAAAAAGAGCTTCAAAAGCTTCCCAAAGCCTGCAAACACGGCTCAAAAATGCCTCAAAGGGTTTCTTGCGAAGTGAGCAGAGTGGCGAGTCCTGAGGCTCCACACAATGCTCGCAAATAAGAAGGGCCTCTTTTCGAACGACTCCACGGCCATTCCCTTCTCGAGTCGAAATGAGTCAAAGGCATCGATCAGTTTCCCCGACCATGTTGCACAGCAAACGTATTCGTCACGCCGAACTGATTATCCATATAAACAAGCCAGGGCATCTTTGCTGGTAGATCTCGTCCTCCCACTGACGAATGCCTTCCTTCCACTGTTGCAAGCCCCTGGCAAACAGCGGGAGTGAGTGACTACCAAGTACCCCAAGCCTATCTAGGTAGCATGTGCCATGTGCAAAAGAAATATATGAAGCTGCGAGAAATGTTGTAGGCAGAATATACCGTTGCAAGTGCCATTGCGAATTGCGAACTACCCTTGGATTTGCTTCGGCCTCTCAGATATCACATAGCGCGGAGGCAGCGGTGGCCAAATCCCTGGTGGCAACCGCAGAGTGGGCTCCGGTATCTGGCACGAATAGCCCGCTTCAGAGTTCGGGTCTTGGTGAGTCTTGGCATGTATTGGCTGACTAGCAAGAATGTATGTGATGTGATATAATATATATATATGTATTATATATAGTATAGACTAGACTAGACATGTAAATGCTGTAAAGATATCTACAAATACTGACAGCGGTCAGTGGTCAGTATAGCGAAAGAAAGCGAACTGGAGAGTGAAGAAGTCAACCAAAATTGTGATACTTATATAAGTCATTGTGACATATTGTGACATCCTTTGAGATTGTTCTTTTCTGAAGATTGGATGACTTCTCGTCTGCAATTGTGTCTGGACGTTTATCTTTGTTCATTCTATCCAAGCTTGCCTCCCCTCTGCTCCTTCCACTCCTTGTTTCCTCTCTGACTCACTGGTCCGGTGTTTACCTTTCCCATACTTCCACGCTCTGCCACTCAAAAGTAAAGTTGAGCTAACTTCTTTGGCATGAGCTTGATACATGTGCCAAACATCACCCTTCTTTCGCACAACTCTCATAAGCTAGGAACAATATGGAAAAATTGAACCCGCCAATGCCGAAGCATTTGGCATTGCAATTAGTGGATGCAAGTTCAAGAACCCCAAAACAGCCTTCTTTCTTGATGACACTTGAGGTGTTAAAGCAAAATTCTGAACACACGACTTACCTGTGAAAAACCCAGAGGATGACCAGACACCAGACTCAGTCAGCCTGGCGGATTCCCTTACCAGAACAGTCTGAGTCTGGATGAAGAGATTACAGGATGGGATAGGCTCCAAACAGCATTTTTGGATAACTCACAAGGTGTACTTACGCGGTCGTTGGATCTATTGCAAGTTGCCAACCACATCCGAAATGCAAAATTTGAAAGATGCAAAACGTAGGGCTGGACCGGCTGGACCGGGATCAGGCGTTCCAGAATGCCGAACATGTTGCGATCAGAGTTCCAAGGATCCAGAGTTCCAGGCTAAGAGTTGAGATGGCGCTCCAAGACCCAGGAAGACCCCTATACCATCTATACCTTCCAGCCATGGACCTATCAGCGCATTCACAGGTCCGATCCCACCTTGATGGTCGGCTTGAGCACTGGTCTTTTGGAATCGTCTAGGACATTCTGCAGGAGACGTTCATTCTGCTTGGGTCGCTCCGGTCGATCTCCCTGGCAGAGGCAATCTTGGCACCAACGCGTCAAGATTCTTTGAACCGTTAAATGATGTTAAATGTATTCGAGAATGAATCTGTTGGAGGCCATCACTCTTGGGTTGGAGGCCATCGCTATCAGGTTGGAGGCCATCGCTTTAGGTTGGAGGCCATCGCTCTTGGGTTGGAGGCCATCGCTCTTGGGTTGGAGGCCATCGCTCTTGGGTTGGAGGCCATCGCTATCAAGTTGGAGGCCATCGCTTTAGGTTGGAGGCCATCGCTCTTGGGTTGGAGGCCATCGCTATTAGGTTGGAGGCCATCGCTATCAGGTTGGAGGCAATCGCTATTAGGTTGGAGGCCATCGCTATTAGGTTGGAGGCCATCTCTTTTAGGTTAGAGGCCATCGCTATTAGGTTGGAGGCCATCGCTCTTGGGTTGGAGGCCATCGCTCTTGAGTTGGAGGCCATCGCTTTTGGGTTGGAGGCCATCGCTATGAGGTTGGAGGCCATCGCTAGTAGGTTGGAGGCCATCGCTTTTGGGTTGGATTTCTGGGGCTCAAACTCGACGGCTGCGAGGGATCTCTCTCTCCTTGCGGCAACTCTCAAGCAACAGGTCATGCCAAGATCTGCGTTCAGCTGTCACCGCTGCGTCCCATGAATGGTTGCGCTCATAAAATTATGAGTGTTCGGTGCTGCCAGTGGTGCATATGAAACAGTGCAGCCTGGGCCGCAGCTTCAAGGCCATGATTGAAATGCGTTGAAGACCGCTGTCCAGCCAGAGAATGGAGGACCTACATGAACCTACAATGATCCAAGGACATTCCCCAAAATGTCCTTCTCCTTGTCCTTCTGCTTTTCATCCTTTTGCTTTTCATCTTTCTCTTTTCCTTCTGCTTCTTCATCAACCTACTCGGATAGAATGCTGCATGTGCTTGACCACAGAAGGATCTTGAAAATAACTTTTGCCGCTGTGACTCTGTGACTGAGCAATCCATTGGTGGCCAGGTATATAATGGGTTGAATCCAATGCAAAGGTTGAAGGGGAGCATCTGGCCTTCGGCAACATTGCAGGGTCGAGCCACCTCAGTCATGATTTCAGCTTTGCCTTGAACCAACCAACCAACCAACAAACCAACCAACCAAGCAAGCAAGCAAGCGAGCAAGCAAGCAAGCAACTCTAGCCACAAATGAGGATGCCCCAGTTTGAGCTTCAGCTTGTCGAATTATAAGAGAAATTAAATTGACCATCTTGATCCTCTCCTAGTGTCCTGACTGAGTACCTATGCTTTCTGAATTCTTTGCTTTATTCGGAGTCCTTATTTTCCTGGACTGTTTCCCTGCTCAGCCGAGGGTCAACAAGGTGTCCACCCAAGGCAGCTTTGAGATGCTCTCATCCAAAGCTTGCCGCCTCGCCTGGCACCATTGAGCAAGGCTGAATGAATCAGGTTGTCAGGGCACAAATGGTATTAATCCTTCAGAAATCTAGCAGGTCCCTGACTTGTGTATGTGTGTAAATGTCCTTCCAAACACGTACTGAAAGTAGACATCTACACGACTACTTTACCTTGAGAACCATCGTTTTGCTCACCTCGCAATGATTCGTTGCATTGCGCAAGTGTCGATCAAGAAAGCGCCGCACCTGGAAAGCACCAATCTCAGAGCTCAGCAACATGCCAGACGATTGTTGCTATATACATACTGTAGCTTTTGAGTCCAGTTGCTTGAAGCCTACAAGTGCCAACGAGAAGAGAGGAGAAAGCTTGAAAGCTCTATCCTCTTAGCTCGCGCAGTCGCGCATTGCACCTGTGTTGGCAATGACCGCACGCCCTTATCGCTAAAGGCCGATGCCATCAAGGAAGCTTCAGACCCTGGCGGCACCACAATGCCTCCCGTTGCACGCGACATCTCCAAGCCGAATGAATCGAATGCGTGAAAGGTGCCCTCAACATTGTCTCAAGTCTCAAGTCTGCATGTCTTCTTGGGCACCAAATTTATTCAGTCTTGCTCAGCGACTCAGAGCCTGAGATCACACGCAGAAGAAGGTTTCGAGGCATCCCTGAAAATGCCTGGCCATGAGGAGCGTCCAGAACCCCTGGAGAGTCTGAAGTCGAATGAGGCCAGAACAATTAACTTGGAGCATTCAAAAGAGCAGAGATGTCCCGAGGATTACAATCAGTCTGCCACTCACCTCATAGCGAGTGGCATGTGCATCAAATGCAGCGACACCTCAGGCGGCAACTATCAGCAAGGTGACTGACTTCTATGTGGGCAATCAACATCAACTGCTGAACAATGGCTGAAGCTTTACCGACCCATGTCGTCTCGTTTTACTGGGATACTCTGGCAGTCTTGGTATCGGTTTGGCGAATCTCGACTTCCACAAAGCTTTGACCCCAGCAGAAACCTGAACAGCTTCAAGAGCGAGATGACTCCAACAAGCCACAGGCAGTGAAAACTCGTGACTCATTGTGACGTTGTATAGTACACTAAGACTGCTAAGATCCTATGGATTGGGTTGACAACTCAGCCTGTTCTTGTCCTGCTTCTCTTACAGTGCACATGCAACTCTGTACTCCTGACTTGTCATTCGTCACAGCTGGTCGAGTCTTTTCTCGAGCGTCTCATGTTTCAGTGATAAACACAAACATGGAAACTCCAGAATCAACACATGTCCAAACGTGGAAACCTGTCCTGTATGTTATGCATGCCCAAATTCCTTATCCACCTTGTGACACATTCATGTTTGTACAGGGGCCCGCGAAGGTCTGGGATATTCATCGAGGGGTCTGTCACTCGTTTCAACACAGCATGTGCACACAACATCCCGTCGGACATGCTGCCTGCAGAAAATGGGGCGCAAAACGAGGGGGCCTTCTCTGTCCCTGAGGTAGCCAGCAGTACCTACAAAACGGCTTGGCCTTGAACGACACAACAGACACCGGTCACCGCAGCGCTACGCCACTATATGTGCAACCCACACTTGCAACTGAATACCTGCTACATAATATGACATATAAATGCCTGACAACAAGACTGATTAACAAGACTGATTGTAGAGACTCCATTGTTTGAAACTAGGTTTGAGATACCTTGGACTTTTTGGATTCCTGCGCGCTTGGCGGCGGCTTCATATATACGTATGATGTACATTAAAGCTAGTTCTGATGACACAGCAAAACATTAAAAATGCATAAACACAAAAACAATGAATGCAAAACCAATGCTGCAAAAAATGCAAAGAACACAAAAAACAAGTCACCAAGGGAAACGTTGGAATGCAAAAAATGCAAACCAAAACAATTAATTGTCCACGCCAAAAATGCAAAACCAATGCACAAAAAATGCAAACAAAAAGCAAAACAAAAGCGAACAAAAACGTTCTGGTCTTTGCTTTTGTCTTTATTGTTTGCTGTTTTTTTTGCCTTTAGCTTGCCTGTCTTTGTGCGGTGTTTTTGCATGTTTTTTGCATTTCCTTGGGAAAACTCACAAAGACACACAAACAAAACGCAGAAAATCGGATAAAAAATCGCAAAAATATCGCACACAAAATGCACAAACATCAGAGAAAAAAAAACGCACAACGTCTTTGTTGCTTTTGTTTTGTGATTGTTGTTTTTTTTAAAATGATGTGTTGCGTGTTGTTTGCTCTTTTTGCGGCGTCTTTTTGCAAGTTTTGTGCTTTTTGATATGCACTCTTTTTGACCAGCTGCCTTTTTGTTTGCCTTTTTAAAACCTCCTGGTCATCATTTCTGAGTGTGGTTTTACATTTATTTTGCGCTTTTTGTTGAATCCTTGAGATTTCAGAGTTAGGCTGTAAGGCACATCATAAGTATATACATATGATTCTAGTAGTAAATGATCTGAATCAAAAGCAATCTCCCTTCGGCTCTGTACATTCGCGCAAGAAGATTTCCAGCCGCTACAAGTCGGCCAGTAATCAATTTGGGCATATCTCTCAGCAGTGAACGGGGGTATCATTTGTCTTCTCTTTGTAGGTGATTAATCTGTCCGGTGAGTTCGAGAACTGGCTGCGTTTGAAATTGTCAGGCGGTGCATGTTGCACCACCCGAGGAAAAGCGCCCCACGTTCTGTTGTTTTTTCGTTCATGTTATTTAAGTATTCCATGCCTCTCCCAATAATATATGGAACAAATATATGGCCCACACAAATCTGCATTCCCTTCTCTAATGTGATGGATTCTAGCATTCCAACATGTCCTCTACATAATGCAATTCCTTGCGATAACTGGTCATATAAATCATCAGTGGGAAAACCGCTGTGTGGGGCATAGGCACAAATATATAAATGTCAGGTCGTACCCATGTGAGGTAAACGTTACTGTGGCAATTCGGCCGTTTATGTTCTTAACATCCTTTAATGAGTTTAGAAAACAATTTGTCACCACTATACCAACTCCTGCAATTTTTTGGTGGCTGGTCCCATTATTGGCAAAATTATTGGGCCTTTTGTTGGCTATACTGCGCTCTCTCTCTCTCTCTCTCAGAATGGGCAGTCTAGCTAGGTTCTTGTGTTGAACGACTGCCACAGCCTAATTTCCGACGCAAACAAAGATGGGTGCCGGAGACAAGCAGAGACACCACAAAAAACCACAAAAGAGGCAACCTAAGCAATCCAGCACAGCCAGACAAGTGACCACATCGGCATTTACAGTTTGCAGTGTTGTTGGTTTTTTGTTTCCAACAACATTGCCAAAACACAACCTATACAATTTGTTGGACATCTAAAACTGAAAAAAATGCAGCGGCCTTGACCCCAAACAGCAGCGGCTGCTTGATTGTTCTTTATGCCGACAAATTTGAAAGCTTTTCCGCCAGCTTTGAGCCAGTGGAAACAAAGAAAACAAAGAATACGCCAGCATTTACCCCAGATAGCAAAACGATGTCTGTGGACAGCACCCTGCAGCCCTTCACCGCCCTCCAACGGTGCCAGCACCCTGGCTTCCAAGCGCAGGGCCAAAGACATGTCGCAGCAGCATCCTCGAGCGGCACCAGCCGCAGCCCCAGCTCCCATGGTCCAAAGTGCACAGAGCAGCGGCACAAAGCAGCGGCACCAGCACCCAGGCTCGAAAACGCACACATGCAGCTCTTCCTATACTTGAAGTAAGAATCCCAATAGTTCACGCTATCTTGTGAAAAACAAAGCAGAATCATCTCAGTCTAGAGTCTAGCATCCAGGAAGAGCCATGGGAGACAAAGGGACACAAAAACACTTATAATAGGGCCGCGACTTAATTTGGTAATTTTTTGTTTGTTTCTTTTTTGGATTTTTGTTGTTTTTCGTGTTTCGTGGCAGGTGCAGTACTCGTGGACCTTGCAATGCACATTTCGTGGCAGGTGCAGGACTTTGTGGATGTGGAAGTGCAGAGCTGGTGGCAGGTGCAGGACTTTGTGGGCCTTGGAGTGCAGATTTCGTGGCAGGTGTAGTACTTTGTGGCCCTTGGAGTGCAGATTTCGTGGCAGATGCATGACTTTGTGGACCTTGAAGTGCAGATTTCGTGGCAAATGCAGGACTTTGTGGGCCTTGGAGTGCAGATTTCGTGGCAGGCGCAGGACTTTGTGGGCCTTGGAGTGTAGATTTCGTGGCAAATGCAGGACTTTGTGGATGTGGAAGTGTAGAGTTGCTGTGCAGATTTCGTGGCAGGCGCGAGACTTTGTGGACCTTGAAGTGCGGATTCCGTGGCAGGTGTAGTACTTTGTGGATGTTGAACTGCAGATAGACAGATAGAAAGATAGAAAGATAGAAAGTTAGATAGATAGATAGATAGATAGACAGATAGATAGATAGAGGAGGCATATTCGCTTGGTTAGAAAGTTTTGCACCGGGGAGTTCACCTTAAAATATTGATTTCGTGGCAGGCGCGGGTGTCGGGGATGAAGTGCAGATTCCGTGGCGCAGGGGGGGTTGGGGGGGGCGCAGCGCCCCTCCCAGCAGCACACCAGATCCAAAGGTGAGCAGCTCGTGCTTGCTTGCTTGCTTGCTTCCTTGCTTGCTTGCTTGCTGGCTGGCTTGCTTGCTTGCTTGCTTGTTTGTTTGGTTGCTTGCTTGCTTCCTTGTTTGGCTTCGTCTTTGCAACGCAAAAAACAGGAAAAGCAAATGCAAAAAGAGAAAGGAGAACAGCTGCCAAAAAGAAAGAAAGAAAGAAAGATAGAAAGATAGATAGATAGATATAGACAGATAGATATAGACAGATAGATATAGACAGATAGATAGGCCAAAAAGCCAAAAGCCACAAAAGCCACAAAAGCCACAGAAGCCACGAAAGCCAAAAGCCACAGAAGCCACGAAAGCCACAAAAGCCACGAAAGCCAAAAGCCACAGAAGCCACGAAAGCCAAAAGCCACAAAAGCCAGAAGCCACAGAAGCCAGAAGCCAGAAGCCACGAAAAACAAAAAATCCAAAAAAGGAAACAAAAAAAACTCCAAAATTAAATGGCCCTTCCTTATAATATAGGTGCTATGGTGGTGAAGAGCCTCGCGGTGCTTTGGAGTACCATCGTACGCGCACGCCCCAAGAAAATGCTTCAAAAATAGTTTTCTTGACAGGCGCCGAACAGAAACAATAACCCGCTGGTGTGCGAAGCTCTACAATAGTCTACCTCTTGCGCAACGGCAAATGGCCTCCAACGTCCGTGCTTGGAGTCACAGGCCGCCTGTCCCTCAAAGAGGCTGAGTCCGTACAAAGGATGAAATGGGTAGCTGCCAGGTAGCTAGCTCTTGCACAACAGTTTTGTGATGTTTGGTTGGCAAAAGATGTATGCAATTCCAATTTCCAGGAAAACAGTTTTGCGGGAGGAAAGGCCTCCTACTGGCTTGCCAAATATATCAAGACTTGAATGCAAGGCCTAGGCCTAAAGGGCAACTGGGAGAAGGGATAACCTCATGCCTCCTTCCGAAGGTGAGCATTCACAAGGTAAGTCTTCAGATATATCATGGCGTACGTCATTTTCTCTTCAAGACCTTTGTAACCCTTTTGAGAAAAATAGAGGGGAACAAAAAAACTTCCTGGACCTTCGACGGTTTTGCGAAATATATAGACAGCTTGCTTGCTGCATTGACAATGGCAGCAAGTCCTTCCCAGTCCATCTCTCTCTCTCTCTCTCTTTTTTTCCCCCTCTCTCCTTCCTCTCTCTCCAAAAACCTCTTCAGTCTTAGCACCCCAGCTGTGGGCTTGGAGGGCCAAGGCTTGACAGCATCGATGCCAAAAACATTTCAGGTGTGTGGGCCACCTCAATGGAGGTGTTATGCTGCCATTTTCTTGCTTTTCTTGTGGGTGAATCTGTGGTTGACCTCTACAGCCCTGTTGTCATGTCACAAAAACTCCACGTAGTTGTTCCGACATCTGAGTAGAGTTTCTCAGGAGACTGTTGCACGAACATTCCAGACCAGAGTCTGAGGCTCCATACACTTGCTCCAGGCGGCAGCACCAGGTGAACGTAAGAGTCCACACATTTCTGAAAGGCAAACAAAAATTTCAGGAAGTGCGCAATCTGATTTCAGACAAATATATATATATATGTATATTACCAGTACCAGCGAATCTTGTTTGTCAAAGTTGGTGTGTGTGTGTGTGTGCTAGCTACCTCAATATGATCTTCAAGCAAAATTTCTTCGTATATGTTCTTGTACTGAGCCTCCCACAAAAAGCTGTGCTAATTCCCGAGGCTCGTAAAGGGTGTTGATGTCCGGAAGATCCTCTACCTGCCAGACTCTCATTCTTAAGCCAGCCACAGACCCGTCGATCCTCCGTGTCAAGAGGCAAGGGCCGCAAGGGCTCCTGTGAAACATCCCTCTTTGCTGTGTCCTTTGTGAAGAGCGTAGCCCTCCCCTGCCTCCTTACGAAATGAAGTAGTAGGCGCCAACTCAATCAAGTAAGAAAGTAAACACGCTACTTGGAAGCGCTAATGATATCGTTCCTAGGTTTTGTAAGGAAACTTGGGTTGCCATTTCTACATTCAATTAGCTGCATGTCCACTGAGTTCACTGGGCCTTTTTCTTGATGCCGATGCTGTGCGGGATGTGCTTCCGCGGCATTGCAGGCTTCCAAATCTCGCCTTGAACAATCATTTCGCTGGCAACTTTCAGACTCTTCAATGCAGCAAGAACAGGGCAAGACTCAACTTGCGGCCAGGAGATTACCATCTTATCTTGCAGCTCAATCTATGCAACCTGCAGGCACCCCACTTTCTCTAGAGCTTCGTCGACGTTCATCACTGCTGTCATCCTTAGGTTTGCAGAATAAACATGTTGGCCCAATGTCCAAATGTCTCAGAGTCTATAGAGAACCATCAGCCTCTCAATTGCTTCTTTCAGCATCTTCATGATACCTTGTCGGATCCGTGTTATTTACACCCAACCCTTTTGCAGTACTTGGGCCATCCGGCCACTGTGCCTTCTTCAGATTCAGAGCCTGGCAACTGGAACGTCTAAAGGTCAACTCAGACTGGCTTCAAAAGGCTGTCCTCGCCTTCCCCTTGGCCTGAAGAAGTGCAGCTTGAGCCCTGCGCAGCTCCAGATTCAACTGAAAGCTTCAAATGCTAAACTGACTCAAACCTCGCTGGTAGCACAGGCCAAAACGATTCCTCTGGATGTCATTGCAATTGCAATTGGACCCTTAAGCGCCCTTGGTTCGTAAAGTCTGTGAAAAGCAAGCAAACATTAAGCATTGGCACTAGAAATCAGTCCTCATCGGAGTCTGCCATACTGCCTGGCTAAGTAGGCATGCGTCATGCGTTCACACTCATCAAACTGATGCGTGCAAGCACTAGTCGATTTGGGAAAATGTTCAAGAGATCGCACGTGCGACAAGTGGAAGTCATCACACAGCCTTCTTCACCATTGCCAGCGCCTCAGGCGAGCTGGTGATACGTTTGTTGTGGTACTGGGACGAGAGCCTGATCGGATTCCTTCTGCTTCCTTTTTTGGTAGTTTGATTCATGGCTGGCCAGGATCTTAAGGGTGCTCAGAATCTTGAAACGGAGTCGACGGAGTGCACGCAAAAATGTCACACATCAAATCACATCACCAGGGCCTGGGATTTCTGCCACTGGCCCAGCTGCATTGTTGGGCATGATATCCATAGACCTGCAAAGGAGAGCAAAGGAGTCTCTTCTACCTTAATGGGCTCCGCCGAAAAAAACAATCTGGGAAAAGGAAACACCACGGGAAGGGAAAACACCAATCTGGGAACTGAAAACACCCAACCCTACCTTAATTTTCCCCAAAAATCTAGGAACCAAATCATCAGTGCGAGCGCTTCTTCAAGGAAGCTTCCCCCGCCGCCTTTGGGGCGGCGGGAGAAGCACGAGCAGGACTTGTAGGTAGTAGCTACCTAGCTACTACCAGCTACCTAGCTACCTGCCTCACCTCTTAGCGGCCTACCCCCCTTTAAAAATTTAAAAGTTCTTCTATGAAGACCAACACGTTTACCCGCCCCATCAAGCGATCAAATGCAAAAAGGTCGGCCATCCACAAGGCACTCCCTCTGCACTTTAGCACTTCCCACTCCAAAAGGGTGTGATTTCTTCCAAATAAAACCACTTGGTGGGCATCATTAGCTGCAGCTCAACGCACTTGGTGCGGTTCTCGGGACTTATGTACAAAGAGGTTGCTTGCGAGGGTTGGATGCCCATCTTTCAGGCCTCCTGTCCTTTCGCTTGCATCTCTTTCAAGGGGCGAATCCATCAGACGAGGGTGGGCTGTCAGTCCCCTCTCCTCGAAATCCAATTGGCATAGGAGGAAGAAACTTGGGACTGGTGGGCCCCTCCTCAGGCATTTTGGACGGTTTGTCCAATGTGTCAGTTGGGGAAGGATGAAGGGGATGAAGCGGATGCGGATGAAGTGCCGTGGCGGCGTCCGAAACTCCAGCGGCCAGTAACTCCTGGAGCCGTTGTGTCAAGAGTTCTTCATGAATGCGTCGAGTCTCCACTGTACTCTCCTTATGCGGCCAGATCGTATCACGCTGAGAGCACATGAGAACGAACAGAACATAATAGAACATCGTTTATTGACAGTTGAAACTTCTCAGGCTGCTGTAATGTCAGGAAGTCAGACAAGTCACATACTTTGCAAAAATCTCCACAGGGGCTTTGGCTTCAGATTTTGGCGCCAATGCATGGGCTGAAAGCAAAGTGGCCGCATCCAACGCCTGACTTAGTAGCCGAAGCGCCAAGTGCTGCGCCTCTTCCAAAGTCGAAGGACGCACAAGTGCGTCAACCAAATATTTCCGAAGAGTCCGAGCTGATGCGTCACACTCGCCTACCAAGTTCTCAAGTTTGACACTTGGCGCTCCTTCTCTCTCTCTCTCTCTATCTCTCTCATTTCTGATTTGTTAAAAGGAGTCGGAGTGTCCACTAATCAAATCATCAAAGAGCCTCGTGATACTTGTTTGACTCATACACACCACATCAAATCACCACTGTCCAGACTCCATCCTGTTCAATTGGCAGAAAGTTACATATCAGTTAAACAAATAATTATACGAGGAGTTTCACATGCCATAGTCCAAAGCCTGCTCGCACCAGGGCTGCAGCTCTGGTAAGGCTTTCCAATTCCCTGCTGACTTGGCCAAACTGATGCTGCAGCACCTGTACTGTGTGGATTGCTCGGTAGTGTGCATGAAAAATTCAAGCAACAACATGTTCGAAACAATAAGTCGCCAAAACCAAATGTGACGGAACGTATCCAAATATATAAATGTTCTCTAAGGCACTGCCATCTGAGCTTCTAGATCCTTTCTGGTTCGTTCAACCAGGCGTTTGGCCATGGCTGCGACAGCTTCGGGGCTGACGTCCGGATCTCGAGCTACCCGGGGCATCTCACGCGGAAGTTCACTCTGCGCAAGCCGCAGCTGCAGCTTTGCTTTTGCCTCCATATCAGGTCGCGCTTTGGAATGAACAAGTCTGAATAATTCCCACAGGGTGAGGGATCAACAAAAAAAAAGTACTGCATCAATAAAATGTATTCGACGGGGATCAAAAAGAATGAAAAAAGATCAAGCAAAATATTCCCAGTGAGCAATGAAAGGAAAAAGAGAGGAGGGAAAGGACAGCAGCACGGCGGGCGACCAAAGGACCATAGAAGGATGTTTGCAACAAAGAATCAAAAAACTTAGGCGAGGGTGTGCAATACTTGGTGTGGATATACCATCGGGTGACCTATAAAAAGTCAGTCGTGGCAGGCCCAGTGCATGCGCTGAAGCGGGGTTGCAAACTACAATAGCCACCAGACGCTGAAGGCACCACAAATGACAAAAGATCGAAAACTACACGCCCTATTGCCCAATCAATGAGGGCCCATTCACCACACGGACAGTGAAAGGATGCTTGCAGCCGCTTACAACAAAAATCAAAAAGACTTAGGCGAGTGCGTGCAATATGTTGATGCCTGAAACTACTTCAAAGGGACCTCAGGTGTTCAAAGTAGACCCCACAATCTCGTTTCTAACGTGAAAAGCCAATGCACTAAATGTTTGTGTTTGTACCGAGTTAAACGGGGGGTACAACACTAGCACGTCTAAACGTGTTTTTTTTTCACCGGGGGACTTATTGCACATCTAGACGTTGACTTTCATTGTAGACCCTCATGTCTTAAGACATTGTATAAAGAAAACAAAAGTAGCATCTGTCTTTTCGTTCATGCTTTAAAGGATTTAAAGCCCAGCCCACAACAGCCACAGGCAAGAGCGTGCCTATGGAAGAGGAAGGTTAAGTAGCAGGAATGCGTGACTAGGTGGATTCCTGGACATTAGGTCTACTGACTGACTGTTTGGCCTGACTAAAATCTCCGCTTGGGGAACAACACGCTTTTGGCGAGCAAGCAGGCAGAGCATGGTGAAGGTAGGTTCTGTGGGCTTGACATGGAATGCACTGATCTTCACCGGAGACGTTGTTGAGTTTGTGCTTTTGGGGAACTATCCTGGACCCACCATGGGTCTGATATGGAAGTTCAGGACTTCTACCGAAATTGCATTTTCGCTCGTGCTTTAGAGGAACCCGTCGAACCCAGCCGCAACAATCACAGGCAAGAGCGCACTTGTGGAAAAGGAAGACTGGGTAGCAGGGATGCGTGACTGGGTGAATTCCCAAGCGGAGAGAGGAGGTCTCGACACGCTTGTCTTCGAGACTTTGACGCGCGAAGCGCTCGCTTTAAACATTTGACGCCTGAATTTTGGAGGACGTACCTTACGAAACACTCCTTTTGGAGACTTGAACTGTGAGTTTTAGAGGAAGTCTCGAACGAAACGCTCGCTTTGGAGACTTGAATTGCGAGTTTGGGAGGAAGTCTCGTACGAAGCTCTCGTTTTGGAGACTTTACGCGTGACTTTGAGGCAAGGAAGGGTGGTGCCCCACAAGAGTGTCCCGAGAGTGTCCCACAAGAGTGTCCCACCAGAGTGTTGCGCCTGAGTGTCCCACAAGAGGGTCACAAAGAGTTACACACCAGAGTGCCCCACGAGAATCCCCCACAAGAGTGTCCTACGAGAGTGCGCCACAAGTGTGTCCTGCAAGAATTACACACACAAGAGTGTCCTACAAGTCTCCCAAGAGTGTGGAGTTTTTCGCAAGAATGTTCCACAAGAGTGTCCTAGAAGAGTCTCCCACCAGAGTGTCCCCACCACCGGTGTCGTACATGAGTGTCCCACGAGAGTCTTTGACAAGCGTGTCCCACAAGAGTGTCCAAAAAAGTGCCACACAAGAGTGTCCCACCAGATTGTCGTACTAACCTCACAGCTGGCCCCTCGGTAGTACAAATGTAGTGCGGGAAGTGGCACAAGAGTCTCCAACGAAGTGTCCTGCAAGAATCTCCACAAGAGTGTCCTACAAGAGTGTCCATAAGACAGAAGAGTAGAGTGTCTCACAAGACCGTGCCATGAAGGAGTCCCAAAAGAGTACCCCGCAAGAATGTCCCACAAGAGTGTCCCACGAGAATCTCCCAGAAGAGAGTACCACAAGAGTGGTCTACAAGAGTGTCTTCTACAAGTCTACAAGAGTGTCAAACAATGTTTGGTTGTTTGTTTTTGAGTGCATGTGTGCATTCGGGTTTGTGGGTTCCGTCTTGGTTGATCCAGATGCCAGCCCAACCAAGAAGATTCAAGCCAGGCATCACATCCTAAACGCCCTTTTCAGGCCTGATAAAAAGGAAGATACTGCGTATATACAGTATATACTGTGTGTATATATATAGAGAGAGAGAGACGACAGGAATATATATATATATGTAATTATATGTATATATCACAAGTGTCTCATGTTTGCCCTCTTTCTCTTCGTCACAATGCTCCACCTCCAAGGACTGAACTCTTCGCTGCTGCTCTGCGGTGTCATCTTCCAAAGTTTGCACCTTTCCATCCAGGTCCTGTGTGACAAGAAGCTACTAGTAACAAGGGCATCACTACGTTACTAGTAACAAGGGGAATTATATACTAGTAACAAGAAGCTGCTAGAAAAAGAGATGATAAAAGGAAGGTGAGGGAAAGGGTTTATGATGATCTATGCTTCCCCCTTTAAAGGGGCTATACCTTCCCTTTGTTCATCTCCTTCTTGAATTTTCAATGCTTTCCCAGGATGAACAATGGGTGTTAAGTGACTGAGCAGTGGGTGAAGCTTTCGAGTTCGGTCTGTCTCGCCCAGTTTGGTCTCGTCCTAAGCTTGTCGCCGTTTCAACACACAAAGCTGCTCTCAGTGCAAAAATTCACTTGATGCTCTCCTGGATACTCTGACGGCACGATGTCATCATACTTTGAAGCTCATTCTGCAACTGCTCTTGGAGCCGTTTCACTTGGCTCATTGCTGTTGTGGCAATCGCACACTTACGCTGTGCAAATGCATGGCCTTTGCCGAGTACACTTATGTTTGCAAAGGCGTCTGTGCCTTGATAGCTCAAGACCACCGGATTTGGTGGGGCCTCCAAAACAGCAACCACTTCTTGCGCTTCGGGAGGTACGAGGATCTCCACGACGCCTGACATCTTGTGACAGCTTGACAGTCAACCGGACATGGCAAAACAAAAAGGACACTATGATCTGATGGTAAACATCGCTTTCATGATCAACCAAAATTGTGAAAAATTGGCCTTGAGCGAGTTCGATCTGCAGGTGATCACAAATCTCTGCAGAAATGCCCTGATCTCTTCGAAAGTGTTGTAGGAGTTTCTCTGTCCACTCCTCTGAAGTTTGCATTTCATCAAAATCCAACTCCGGAAACTGCAGCTTCACCTTCAGCTCTGTCTGCTGACCTGAAGTGCAGCACATGAAATAGAAATCCTTGAAGTCGGATGGTGACAAGTTCCCCATGCTACAGTGACATTGGCAAATGACGCAATGCACCCTGAATTGGTCGTAGCACGTAACTTACAAACGAAAGTGGCCGCACCAATCTAAGACTCTGGACTAGAGAAACCTGTTGAACATCACATGATCCAGTGGTGCCAAAAGGAATGCAAATTGCATGGTGCTAGTTGTTGGGAATGCCGTGTGTGTGTGTGTGTGCGCGCATAAAGGCAACCATCATATGTGCAATATTCTCAACATATTCTGCGCGGCTCTAGCGCCGCGACATATTCTGCTTGGCAGGTCCCGCTTTTACAACACCCAGCATCCCTTTGTCTCAAGCAGAATAGGCTAGCTATTTGGCGGCTAGTGGAGAGGATGTTTTCAAACCAAGTGACTTTTCTCCGCCACATTTGTCTTCCGCAGCAGCCGTGGGGGGCGCACCCCCACTGGGCCAGGGCGCGAGGAGGCCGTTGCTGCAGGTAAGACTCGTGTACTCCACGCCACAGCAGCACGGCTGAAGCAAACTGCCACTGCTAATGGCCATGCCAGTGCATGCATGGACGGCTGGAAGACACCAGTAATGCAAAGGAATATCACCTCCAAACAAAGCCACAAAGCATTCTGTGTGCGTGTATGTTGGTGTCGGACACTCACACCAAATTATTCCATACACCAAGCTCATTCCCTATTCGCCTCAAGGATTGCCAAAGCTGCCAGAACTTGGAAGGTCCTGGCCAATCCGCTCGAGACCGTGCCACTCCCTGAAGCGGAACTCGGGTCACAACAGAGAAGTGCAGCGGCAAAAGCAGAGACCATGGGGATGGAGGTTAGGCACGCCACTGCGACGGCCTCCTCAGTGTGCTCCAGCGGCTGATTCTGATCGCCAACCAGTGGAGTACGGCATAATTCTAAGTCATTTTCATGTGGAACAGCTCAAAAGACTCAAAGATTGGAGTACACCAACGAGCCAAGATTCTGCTGCTCCCTCACTGCCTTTGAACAGCAGACCATCACCAATGCTCACAGCGGCCGCTGCTTCACCCACCAGCCTTGGATTGTCCCAAAAGCTATTGGCAGAATCGAACATTCTCAATCCTTTGACGGTGACACAGTCACAGTGTTTTGGAGTACAGTATTGAGAGGTGCAACCGCATGGCTCCTAAATGCCCCTAAGTTTTATAGCATGTAGCTTCTGTCCCCAATCAGTCTTCAAATGAAAACTTTAAGCTCTGCCGGCTTCATTGAGACTGACACAAGCGATACAAAGGCAACAAATGGCATCAGGTTGCTCTCAAACAGCCAAGGCACAGTCCCCCGGAGACACCAAGCTGAAGCAACTCTGCGGCAAGAGCAGCTGTCCGCACCTGCGCCCTTGCTGCCAACAGCGCGGGAGGTCCAGCCATGACAAATCGGACAGCAACAAATGATCCAACCTAAGAGTGACTAAGTGTGATTGTGAGTTTGCATCTAGTTATTCTTCGATGCGAAGCTGCCCTTTGCTAGCTTGGCAGGCCATGATTTGGTTGCGAAGTGACAAGCGGAAATGCCTCACAGCTTTAGGACTGCTAGTATGGCCAAACAGAGTTTGGCACGACACACCCCTCAGAACCAACAGCAACGGTGAGAAAATGGTACCAAAGCTTCGCATCAAAGCCTCTATATAAATACTTAGCTTATCTTGGCGTGTTGATTCGGGAAAAATGTGTGTGTGTAAATATATATATATATATGAAAATATATGTTTTGAGTTGTGCCATAATTCCTGCAGTCATGGGAGGTTCTGAAACATGGCTTTGCAGGCCTTGAAGGTGGTCGCGCAACATGTTGGAGCGCTCCAGGTGGCAGGTGCACAGGCTCCTCTGACGGAGTCAGCAAGGTAGAAACCACACAAACAAAAAACAAAATTATATTGCCCTTGTTACTAATAGCTTCTTGTTACTAGATGTTACTATTGTATAGTAGTATGGCCTGGAGCTACTAGTAGCTTCTTGCTCCTAGTAGCGATGCCCTTTGTTCCCAGTAGCTTCTTGTTACTCGGCGAAAAGCCTTCAACGCTCAAAGCTCAAATGAACAATGAAATGCCGACGCCTGCTGGACGCCGCTCCCAAAGAAGAGCGCAGCGGCATGTGAGCGTGCCGGTGAAGCGTTCTGGGTCAAGAACAACAGCTGTGTTACTGCTTTTCATATGCTTTTCTGATGGTGACTATGATGACACGTGACTATGACGCTGCCGCGCACATCACCAAAACACATTTGCACTTCAAAAAAGGTACAGCAGGGTACAGCAGTACAGCACGTTCAACTCTCCAGGTGTTCCCAGCATGGCGTCCACCACCACGGGAGCGGAGGTCAGAGGCAGCAACACGCTGCCTGTCGTGTACAGCGTAGATCACGGGTCAGCTATCGTCTTAGACGATTGAGCACTGGATTCAAACAGATTCAACCAGATTCAGCACTTCTCTTCTTGGAGGCCTTTGGCGATCTCGCTCGAGTACCTCCTCGCTTTGAAAGCGGTTCGAGGAGCTCACCACCTGCAGACTGGGACTGTCTAATCCATGCGTGGCAGCAAGTTGTCAGAGCAAAAGTAGAACACAGCAGCTTGCTTCACATAATGTCGGAACTCTGGTAGCTTCTGGCATGCGCTTTGTTGTACCAAAGGACCAGCATCTGAAGCCGAATGTGTGATGTGTTTGACTACAGCCACTTCGTAATCATTGTTGATTATCAAGCAAATAAAAAGTATATATTCAAGATTGATGGGCTGTAGTCTGTTGGAAGCATTTTCAGCTCTGGATGGCCAAAGTCTTCAAGCTTTCTCCTGGAAGTAACAGGCTCACCAAAAGGAAAGAAATTGCCTTAGTTAGTTACCTAGTTTGCAAAGTCTCGTGTGAATGGGTGTTGCAACAGTAAAACTTGCCGGTTCACAACTGACATGACAATCAACTGATGTGATGCTCACAAGTACATGAAACACCAAAGTTTCCAAACAAAGTCAAAGCCCTTGAATCGGCTAACTGTGTGATTCACTCCTCCTGAGGTTCCGAAACGCTTTGCTGCGATTTGCGCACCTCACGGTGCTTTTCCTCGGACTTCCGTAAACCGGAGTAGCACAGAAACCTTCCAAAATAAAAACTGAGCAAAAACTGAGCATTTTGGGGTTGACTGGTCCAGTGCTGAGAACCTGAGGACTGAACCTTTTGTTTCGCATCTTGTTCTCCGTCGAAATAGGCACCAAGTTTGGGATTTGCCTTCATGATCCTCTCCTGTCTGCTGGGCGAAAAAAGAAGCAGTGCCCTAGGGATTTGACATTCACAAAGACCTCCTACAGCACACAACAATGATAAACTTTGCTCATCTTAGATCGGATCGGTCCTTTCCCAGCACAAAAGGACTCAATGGAGGTGAATCCTGGGATGACAAGTGAGCAGGAATCTCGCCAACGATCTCCAAAGTGCTCAACATGCTACTTGACAAATTTTATGGAGGCAAGAACTTGGCGACGGCGTCCAAAACCCAATCCTGTTCTAGATTCAATAGGAATACAACACTCTTGGTACTCCAACTTGTACTCAGAAATCGTTCATCGCTTTGAAAAACAGGATGCCTGCAGAATGAACTTGGATCGCAAGCATTGGATCGGATTCGTAGACAAATGAGTGGCAGCTTCCTGCACTGCAATCGTGCAGAAGCAAATTAATGTGAACTTCAAGAAACAGCCTCCCATCAAAAACACTCTGCTGTTGCTTCTCGTGTCGCTTCAGGAAACTGGTGGAAAGGATTGAAAGTGACCAACAGAACAATCTGCAGAAAGAGACATATGTGAGATAGGTCTCGCACCCTTCAAAGCACTGTATTCCCTAGGGAACTATTGTGGGCAAAGACAGGCTCACGCAAAAGATCGAAGACTTGTGCACTGCAGTTACACGCTGAAGCCTTCACATTGAGGTGTACACAAGTCTTTGCGATCCAGTAGTGCGCATGACTCTTGGTGCAGTGCAATGTGTGCCGTGTGCTTTCACAAGTGTAAATGCTGCTGCTATGTGCGATTTGGTTTTGATCCTGCTAAGGTGCTGCACAAAACCTTGACAAGCGGGGAGCAGTCAGCTCCAAACAAACTGCAAACTGTTCCAACTAAACAAGGCCAAATAATGCCAAATAGCGGCATAACTAGTTTGTCAGGTGGGAGAGAGGGTTCCGCGTTCCTGCCTACCCCAACCAACCAAGAACACCAGTACGTCATTGCCACTCAAAAACCTCTGCAACAAAAGAAGCTGAACAATCAACTATGGGGCAAGCGTGAAGGATGCGTTTAAGGTTGTTGTCCATTATAATTATGGAATAATAGTAATACACAACACTGGTCTGGCCTCGGGGCAGTTTTGCTATATAGTTCCGAAAAGAGGACATACAGTTCCAGAAAACTGGATAGAGTTCCAGAAAACTCACGTGATTGTCATTTTGAACGGGGTCCAAGACCACTGAAGCCCGATGATACGACCAGAGTATTTCAAGCAAAACCCCAAATTTCTTGCAGTGCGTAGTTCCTTACGCTTCAAAGGGCGGGGACAAGAAGTGAAGTGAAAAAAGAACGAAAAGGAGCTAGTAGTAACAAGTGCATCGCTTCTAGTAGCAAGTGCCTTACTAGTAGTAACAAGAAGCCATTAGAATTTATATAATTAGAATCTAATTAAAACTACTAATAGCGATGGCCTCCAACCTGTTGTTAACCCTTGAGCACAAAAACAATATGGTCCACTCCATCAAGTGGGGCCCAAGCGTACCCATTCACGTTCCTTTTCATGAGGAAACAATGAAAAGCCCAAGAAATTGATCACACTGAACAATCTAATCATCAGTCAAAACAGTGCCAACGAAATAAGTCACCAAGCAATCCAACCTCCGCAAGGAACGACTGGTTCTTAACAAGTATGAAACATCAGGACCCCATGTTCGGGAGTGGACTTCACTGTCCCTCACAGCGAAGGATGGCCAGGATGGCTGTCAATCCATTGCTACCCCACGAACTCTCGTGACTAGATAGACTTGGATGTAGCATGAACTAATCAGTAGCTTCTTGCTACTAGTCGTAATGCCAGGAGCTACTAGTAGCTTCTTGTTACTAGTAGTAAGGTGCCTTGTTACTAAAAACGTAACGTTCTTCTTCTTTGCCTCCGGTCGCATGAGTTTCCTAATGCCATCCATCCTTTTTGCTCACCAGCTCAATAGGATCTCCAGCACAAACTTGCAGACTTAATGAAAGGGCAGTTGAACATGCACTATTGATGAATCCAAAACATGTCCAAAGTGCCTGTTCAGGGAGAATGCAAAGGACTAGTGGAGGCCCTTAAAGTCAAAGCCATTCTGCCCTTCAGTCCTCTTCTGCAACTGCTGAGAATGGCGTTGTGTTTTCAGCCTGGCGTTCACTCACAAATGCACAATGCACTAGGTGTTAAAAGTACAGTATCTCAAGACTCAAAAATCATCTTAATCTGATGATTCTGGGATGGAGGAACCAGAGAGTACTGACTGGCGTTGTTTAATGGCTTCATCTCCTCTTCAGAATGAGTGTAATTTCCGGCAACATATATATATATATATATAGTGGTCTTCTGCTTAAATCACTTGGATGTGGACATAGCTATGAGAAGAACCTTGGTGACTACTGTCTTCTTCACAGTCTTCGAATAAGCTACAGGCTACAATCAATCAGAACGCATTGAACTCTCGCTTGACCTGAACTTTGCACTGCTCTGTCAGGATCCTGGCCTTGTTGGGATCTATTCTGAACCTAGGAGCAACTCTGAATCTAGCATTCCCCTTTCACCATCACATGGTTCAGACAAGATGCGGCTTGACAACCATGTCCAACCTGGGATAGACGAAACAATGAGTAGAAATAGATACTGTTTGCCAAAAGGGCCTCAAAAACCCTCACGTGCCCCATCACAGGAAGCCAATGCTCAAAATTACAAAAATGTCTCTGCTCCCGATTCTGACATGAAAAGGGTGAAATGGGCTCAATGGACTTTGCTTCTAAGGAGCAGGGTCAAATGGATCAAGACGTGGAGCACAAAGGCACCGGCCATAGCAGCACCTAGGGTCGATCCTTGAAGCACCTGCCAATGGCGCCGTCTAAACACCGTCCTTAGAGACTTAGAATGTGCCACTAAAATATGAACATGTCCCAGTAGCTAGTAGTAACAAGTGCATCGCCTCTAGTAACAAGTGCCTTACTAGTAGTAACAAGAAGCTATTATAATTTAATTGGAATCTAATTAAAATTACTAATAGCGATGGCCTCCAACCTACTAGCGATGGCCTCCTACCTTCCGTAACACATGTAGCATGCAAGGTCCTTCAGGATGCCAATGAGCTCCGTCTCTTTTTTGTGCAATTCGTAGCACTATCCTACTTCATCATGGCTATGAATCCCATGGCTCCAGCAACCCAAATGTCTCCTGGCAGCCAAGAACTAATTAAGTATTCCCTCCTTCTCAAAGCCGTGTCAGGAGCACCCCAGATCCTAACTTTGCATTTGGGCCGCCACTCATCCTCAGGTTGTGTGTGGCAATGGTCTCCTCCCACTGCACCACCCAGCACACAATAAGCTTCATTCAGATTCCAAGCACGGCCCCCCTGGATGTGGCACTTTGGGGTGGAGGTCATCTATCCAACCACTGGAGTCACTGGAGGCACGGGAGCACGACAAAACCTGGAAATCAATCGCGCACAAAACATGATTTATTCACCTTTGACATTGGCCAAGCGGCTGGTTGGCTTTGAATACCAAGGCAGCAGCTAGGATTCCCAATGGAAGACTCAGGAGCTGTTGTCCAAACCAATGCACCTCACTGCAGAGGGTGTTGCAACCTTTTGAGGTCCATGTTGGGAACCGCCATTTCCACTGGGTTCACTAGTTGGCTAATCTTGCTACTCCCGATTGCAAAAGCGCCTTTTTGCAAATGGACCGTTTTTGCTGAATTCTGCACAGGGACAAGGCCTGGATTCACCCTGTTTGCACAGAAGTTCGCTCACAATTCCGAGGTGCTTCGTCACTCGAGAAGTAGAACTTCCGGGCCCAGCGCAAGGTTTTCCAATGATCGTACCAGTAGATATACCTGACAAAACCAACTGAGTGTAATTTAAAGCTGTCACTGTCTATTCTTGCTTTGCTTTTCTGTTCTCATTTGACGCATCTGCAAACAAGAAACCAAAGCTTCAATCTCTATTGCACTCACCCCAAAAAACAGTCGCCAAGCGGCAGGTGGGAGACCAGAAAAGCTCCATAGGTCCACAGCATGTAAGCCTCGTCACACGAACATCGTCAACTTGAGGCAGCAAGGGACAAACAATAGCCAGGACAATTGGCTGCAAAAGCGAATCACTGCGGAATCCTGGCTCAAAGAATCAAATGTGTCGAACCGCAACTGCCAGCTTACCTTTCATCTATGTTGTGGCCATTTCTCGATGTACTCATAGGCGACTTGTCGCCGAAGGGTCTGGGGATTCTGGTGAAAGATTGGCCTCAAGTCTCCCTCCCTTGCTAGAGCAAGAACAAACTCACCTGCAAGTAGCAAACGCTAGCTTTTGTGATCTTTATGGAAACCGCTCCGGGCATCATTCTAGCATCTGTGGGCCAGCAACTCTGGACACAATGAATCAAACATGCTCAGCTCGCGATCACATACCACTCACTGTGAGCCAGACAGGAGCTATGAAGGGAATGCATGCCACCAGGATCAGGTTGAAAATCACGTCGGCGTAACGGCCTTGCTCCATTTCAGACCTGTTGGGCGGAGTGGCGCAGTGTGAGTTAAAGGAATGTTTCAAAATAGAACAAATCACAGGCACAGCTCAAACCTCAAAAAATACTCTGCCGAAGTCACAGCTCCAGAGCACGTTCGGCATTCTCCCCGCGAATTCTCCTCATTCTGTGCATTTGATTGACCCTTGTGGTGGATGTTGACTCCCAAAGCTATGAGGCAAGTGACTCATTACTCCGCAAAAGCAGAGAGCCCACGTGATAAGGACCTCAGTTTGCAAGTCCGGATGAATCTACAAAATAGGTCTTTCTCCCTCTGCCTGAACTCCAATTCCTTGCCAAAGAGACCTAGCTGTGCCAAGAAAGGCTCTGCGACAAATGGTACAAGAAAGGTACATGGCCAACCTCGGTTATCAGGTTTCTTCCAAGATTGGGCCCATGGCATCACAAGGACACCAGAACAAGCTCCGTGAACAATAATTCCAGACTTTTTGCAGCTGGCCCGCGAACGTTGTTGCTCTTGACCATGATGCATCCAAGCTGCAGTATTTGAATAATAGTTTTCCAACGGACTTTTGCATGGGATAGGACTCGAAAATTTCCTGGTCGATTTGACACGTTCTTGAAGGACTGCCTTGCTTTGGCTGATCGCATCTCAATTAGGACATGATGTCATGATGCTCATGTTTCTTCAGAACGGTCCTTTCTGGTTTTTTGAGGCGTGTTGTTTGAGTCAAGTTCTTGTAGTTAGTGTTTTATGTAGTCTTTGTACATAGTATGTAGTCTTTGTACATAGTGTGTGCTATATGTCCACATTAAACAGTTTGTTCTGATACGTTTGTATCCGCTTTGTTTGCCGTCCCTTGCTGTGTCAATGAAACGGTTTGTCCTGTAAGCTCGTGAGGCTTCCCAAAAGCCGACCATCAGCTACACGCGCGCCAACACCCACCATTTGCAAGTAGCTTAAGTAACCTGCGCCAGGTCGTGCCAGGATGGGCGGGGAGGAAACTGGAAACCGACCAAACCTACGAGTTGAGTCACCAGTCATGGAAACCGTGTCATAGTCATAAATGAGGGCCTTTGAACATGTGTCCATCTCTTGTCAACAGAAGCTTGGAAGAAAACTTCAGCTATGAAGATAGCGAAGCAATATGAAACGTCAGAAAGCCTGAGAAGGGGGGACGAAAGCCAGCAGCCGCCAGACGAGTGTCTCTCTTTCTGGCGGGCGTCGTGGCACAAGACACATGGTCGGCAGCTTGCGAGTCAGCGGTGCCCGCGGATGTGGGGGGCGTATGTAATGGTGATGGAGGGAGCAGAGAAGCAAGCGGGGCGGCTTTGGGATAAGTTTGGTGTGAAAGAAGTAGTGAAAGAGAAGTGCGATACGTTGTATGTTGGTGTAGATCGTCATCACAAGGCAATGGCATCCGTCTGTCACATGCAGGAAGGTATGCATCTTGTGGAAGTTGGAAGGCGACATCGGCGTTAGCGAAGGGGAGTTATGTGCTTGTTACATTTGGAGCGTTTGAAGTTTGCAGCGCACACTGCGGCACGTCGAAAAGCGGCATTCGTTGACTTGGAAGAGTGAACGGGCACGTCCAAGTAGCCTCCAAAGCCTTTCCTGATGCTAATGATGCACTACTCGGCGTCCATTACATCACTCGCATCACCAAACCCCATGTTCACTGCTTTTCCGACCCTCGCTTTGGAGCGCTCTCCCCCACCAAGCTCTGGTTCACCCTATCAAAAGGTCCTCCTCAGCGACCACCACACCCGCTTAACTCACTTCGTTCGCCCTAAAAGCTCAAGCCTAGCCTATCGGTTGGCTTTCGTAATTACTTTTAAAATAACACTGAAACTTCTTCCTACAAGGCTTTTCTTCTCGTGTTGTCCCTGTGTACAAGCGCATAAGTGTTGGTGGCATCATGTCGATACCACGACAAACCACTCTGTCAAGGGCCTTGCAGCAAAATGTCAAGCACCAGGTTCAAGATCAGGGCAGCATTGTAGAAAATAATGTAAATCCTGTGCTTCTGGTCCTGATCCAACACTTGGTGCAATGCTCTATTTTGGTGCCCTAATTATCTTTGAGCTCGAGTCGAAATCCATGTGTTTGCGACCCCCCCATCGGCACCTCGTAGTGGCATTGACCTCAGGATGGTGGTGAGTGCTTGCCCTGACAATAGCTTGTCTGTGTCTATCTTCACACACAATCGTTGTGAGATGATTGACTTGATGCCACACATTAATTACTTCGCAAGAGTCATATGGACACATTATTGACGTAAATTGCCAATAAACTGCCAACAAATCAGGTCGCAATGACACCAAGCCGCAGAAGTCCGCTCCGATACTACTGGCCACAAAGAGACCAACTTGTGCACCGACCACCAGGGAAACAAAGGCACCTCAGAACACATGACTCATCTCGGTGACCTTTCTCCATGGATCTGCCACATGACTTATTTGCTTGAATTGACATGAGGCATCGCCATGTTCATCCATTTCCATCATTGAATTTAAAGTTGAATTTGGTTGGGTGTTCTCTATCCCGAGCTTGACTGTGTGTGTTCCCATTCCCTTCCATTCTTTTCCACTCCTCCCATCTTGTTGCCTGTTCTACAATTCTACTCTTTCCCTTCCTTGGCATTCTGTCGGATTCTATCCCCTGCCTTCTCCACTTCCATTCCCTTTCATTAGGCATTCCAAGTATACAACTGTCCCGTGCCATTTTTACTGATTTCCCTCCTAAAACCTCGAGTCTAGGTATGTGATGTGTACTTTCAAGTCACGGCATTCAAAGTGCCCTTTTTCCTTCTGTTCTGGTGGATGCTCCTTTCTGCTCTTTCTTCCCAACCTACCATGTTTCTTCCCGTTCGTTCCTTTTCCTTTTCTTGCCTCTCCCGTTTCTACCCATCCTGCCAGTTTCATGCCGATCTTCTGGCCTGTTCTATCCTTCCCCAGCCTTGCCAGTCTATCCACTTCCTTTTCCGCTTTGTTTCCTTTTACAGTAATGAGCCTTGTTGACACTCTGTCTTGCAGGTCTAAATTCAGCAAAAATGTTGGGAAGAAAGAACGTGACAGCTGGACATCCCTAAGATATCACGAACCGTTTCTCTTGATTGCTCAAAATGTCCAACCAAAACCGTGACAGTTTTGCCTTGTGTTGTTTCAGGATGTCCAAAACTGCAGTCCGTCCTTCAGTTCTGGAATATAGTTGCCGGGATACCCTCGGCCAGTTCACTTGGCTCGTCCCCATTCGCGTAGGAAAAGGCCGACCTCTGCTGGACCGTTGCAACCTTTACATCGGATGATCTTGTGAAGATTCCGAGGCAAACACCATCTGCATCACTCCGGAAGGGGTTGTGACTGAGCCAGCGGCATGTAGTGGGCATATGGGATGTAAAGGAGAACAGTCCATGCCAAGCAGGTGAGGAAAATATTTACCTTACGGTCCGGAATTCCAGGAGTGCATGCCGCTCTCTATCCAGTGCGGGGAGGCTTCGACGTGACGAAACTCCCAAGTTCGAAAGTTCTAAATTCACACGGATAGGATAGCCAAATATGGATCAACATGGTTAGCTGGCGTAGTTCTTGGAATCAGAAACTCATTTGAGGTGTTTGTGGCCTTCCCAGCAGCTTCATGCCAAGCCACACTGGAGCCCATGAACTTCCAGCGTCGCTGCTCGGGAGTCACTTGCAAATTGTGCCAGAACAGCGCCTGGCCCGTCAGGTTCCAGGTGACAGCGTGCGCATGGCACACCCAAGAAATGAGCATCAAGCAAAGAAAAAGTCATTTAAATAAATTATAATCCCTAAAGGAAAGACCATTGTTTTGATCATGCGAAGGATTCAATGCAGCTTCTTCCAAAGGTTCAAACCAGCCCTTTTGCATCTTTTCTGCTGGTAATTCTTCTTACTCCATAGCATAGTTCTTACGAGCTACCTCCAAGCATCTCCCTCCTCACCGCCTTCCTCCCTCCTCTGGATAAGATAAGGTGTTTAAATGGAGGAACCAAGGGGTAAAACAGCCTTGCTCTTACAGCCCCATGTTTGGCGTGGCAAGTAGATTGGAAAAGGACCACTTGCTGAATTCCAAATTCAACGTCTTGAGAGATCTTGATGAGAGGCAATAAAAACTTCATTACAAATTGCGGTTGCGATGTTGATGACTTCCATCTCTGCATCTAGATCTGACAGCTGTACATCAAGTCTATGTTGAAAACCCCAGATCCATATAGGATGTCGAAAGTCAATCACGTCGACCAAGCCTCCGGTTCATAGGTCTCTGGTCGCAAACTGCATGTTGTATCATTGACTTTTACCCCGGCAGCCTGGCGTGGACTTTGGACAGTTCAGGTTTGTCCCAAACTCGACAAATTGTATAAATTCCAAAACACTATTCCTTCTAGCCCTTGTGCCTATCGCTATCACAGCGCTACATGAGTCTATGATATAAAAGTTCACAGAGTTACTCCAACAAGGGGCTGCTTTGGTGACAAGAATTGCGCATCTCAATCGACAGAAAACACAGCATCCTGGACCGGTCCACCTTCGTCAACTCGACTGCTTTGTCCCTGCCGCAGTGAATCAGTCTTCTGTTTCCTCCTCTGCATTCTATCAATTCTATCTCCAAAAGTCCTAAGCTCCTTTGCAACTCATGCACCATGCCACGAGCGTTGAGTTACTCCCATTTCAGCCTGGCACTTTCCGTCATGAAGATCACGTAAGAGGTTGGGGCAGTCTCCATGTTCTCCAGGTTCTTCCTCAGAAGCACTGATTGGCTCGTCCTTTGGTATGGCGCACAGCCAAAAATTGCGCCAGACTTGTATGTACCCTGTTGATATCATATCCCGAAATGAAACACTTTGTGTTTGGCATTTGGTGGCATCCTCAAGTTTGAGGAGTTGAAGGCTAAAGTTTAAAGGCGTTAGGCGTTTCGATCCAATCTAGCATACATCAATGAAACAAAGAACTCTCGAAAGAACTAACAAGGTCAATTCGCTTGAGGTCTTCTTCTGTGAACTCCTCACCCTGAGCATCCAAGTGGATGTGCCTCAGGGCTGAAGCTGGCATCCAAAGACTGAATGACAAAAATAGTCATTGTCATAATATGTATAATTGTATAATCACAAACAAAGAAAATCGAACATCACCAATGCAGCAGACTTAATAGAAAGGAGCCATGGACTAAACATAGTTGATCAGCATAAAACTAAGGTCTTGCAACTCAAGCTCTCACCCAGTTATATACACCTCTGCTCGTGAAACACCAGTCAGCTGGTGCATCCACGGTGCCACTTGTTCAGGACATGCTTGTTGATGCTTCCACAGAAGCTATCAAACTGCACGCGTTGTGCCGTGTCGGGCCACTTTGCCAAGTCCGGAAGCTGGAAAAAGGACTATATATAGATCGACTTGGTCAGCAGTTTGCACACTTGGGATGTGAACAAAACCAGAAGCTTTCTTCTGTTCCCTCTTTGCTTTCTCTGTCCTCTTCTCTTTAGACCTTTAGACTCTTCTTCCTCTTGCCTTGTTTGCTAGCAAGATATCTTGAAGTCACTGCCTAGATGAAGCTGCTTACCAAAATCTCTCACGTTCGTGCCTCCTCCCCGGTGCCGGCGGGGATCTCCTGTGGCTCATCATTCTTTTCGTGGAATGCCTTCACCTGAACAGCCCGGAGCAGTGTCTACAAGCCAAAACAGACCCATTTTTGAGATTCTAAACTTCGATTGAGATCTCCAAGATCTACTGCGCTAGTTTTCACCCCATCACGCACCTCTTCATCGATGAAGTGACGCACCTGACTGCTTTAAACATCCGGTGATCAAAGCAAAGGAACTTCGTGCTTCCGGACTTCACTGTGCGTCAAACTGTTGTTGTTTGTAATGCTCGGGGGTGGATGTTGTATGATGTTGTTAACAATTGGGTGCAGCTCATGAACTGCTCTATGTGAACTTTTGTGACGGTATGGCTATGGTGAGATATGGTGCCTGTCCTGACCATTCGAAAACTGCAACCCCCGTGCCTGCGCACGATGCTCTCGAAAGTCCCACCCGACTGACACGGCCACAATCTCTTTGGCAATGTCACTGTCACCTTCGGCTAACGGCTGATCCAAGCTGATCCGGTGTGACCAGTTGATCCAAGAGACGGCCGCCAACTGCTTCCTGGACCGCCTGGAAGGTGCACAACTATAGCCAATCAAGTCATGAAGGAATAGGGTAGCCAAACCAAGGCCAATTTGAAGCTGTATGAGAGAGAGAGAGAGAGAAAGAAAGAATGGAAAGATTTGAAACTTCGCTGATGATTGCTGTAGTACAGGATGATGCTTGGACACCTTATGACTTCTTTGAGAGCCTCTTTGAGTATGTCCTCAACCTTGTCCTTACCCTGTAGCTTCGGGACATTCTCCAAAACGGCCACGTAGTCCGACAAGGTGGCACCTGAGGTCAAGCTGCTGAGAGAAGTCAGAGGTCAACAACGAAACAAGAAGCCGGGGCACGCTCACTGTCAAAGGCGCGGAAGAACTTGGCCATCATGATCCCATACCAAATTGCACCTTTGAAGCTGAAACTCAAACTGTTTTCACTTGTCGAACCAGGCATAAGAGTTGAGGAAACATCAAAACACGAGAGAGATCTCCCGAAGCAGGTGCGGCTAAGGGACCAAACGTGCCAAGTAGGTACGCGAAAGCAATCCAAGCCACTTTGGTCCAAATAAGCTGCATCCTTAGATGTTTATATAGTGGCAAAAAGTGGATTGTGTCTTGCTCCATCGGTCTAGCAGCTAGCATGTGTGACACTGAAGTGGTCCTTTAAACTTTCTGCCCTAGTTTTTACTAGGACAACCAAACCAGAACACTTGTCCGACACATGTTCCAACCGTCTGGACAAATCAGTGATAATCAGTGGGGCAGCTTCATGCGATACCTGTGATTCCCACTCCGCTCCTCAGCTCCCTCTCTAACCCAGTCACTGCCGGTGTCGGCCCCATGCAACCACCTGGTACAACGTATCCATCCAACATCTGCTGACATGTGCTACAATCAGCCAGGAAGATTGTTTTTTGAATTCGCATTACAAGCATCTGCATGTTGTTCATTGTTGTTCTACTTGATCTGGATTTACACGCTACTTGATGTACAACCCAGCGGCCTCACAAAGCTGTCGTGGGGTGACAGCTGGGCGATTTCCCAGGATGAGCAAATCGCGGCTGACCTTGAGCTGGTTTGCAGTTACGAAGAAATCGAACTGTTCTCAATCTGCTCTCCTTCCTTTTCCTCCTCTCTCTCTCTCTCTCTATCTCTTCTCATTTCCATATGTTTACATGTTACACCTTACTCCCTGGTGCAGCAGGCCCCTGGCAAAGGCAACAAAGCCAAGCCAAACAGCTATCCTCAGCTGGTCTCCATAAAACCTTTCATGAGTCAAGATCCAAGTCAAAGCTTCGTCAGAAAGGACCAAAATGCCCAAGGCACACCAGTATGCCCCAGGTGATCGCAGCCGCTTGGAAGCGAAAGAGTGCCGTGCCACCAGGGCCAGCCACATGAACGTTGCACAGATTTGTAGCAAACCTTGGAAAATAAATGTCCATGTCATTCCGGGCCCTTTTCACATCAGCTTTGGTATACAACTATACAACCATTCATGTCGAAATATCTGGGCTGGTCAAGAACGGAAAGTTGCGATCTGCGTCTCAGGGACGGGTAAGGCTGCCCCTCGTCTCCATGGTGGTCTTGTGTCACCATCATACGCCACTGGCTGTACTGACCATACCTGAGCCAATGAGTTATGCCGTGCATGTGCACCATAAAGACAAGTCATCCTTTTTATGAATATGAAAGATTATGAAAGAAGAGCTTAGTGGTCTAGTGAGCAAAGCTACTTGACATACCAGACATGCTGCGCACAGTGCTTCTAGCACTCACCCTGCGTGCAACATGGTATGATAATACATTATGATTCAACTGCATATGAACGTATGTGAGTTGAATGTGAACCTCGAGGATAGTGCACCACTGTCTTCAACTCTGTGTAAACATTTTCGCTGCAATTGAGATGCCACTCTCTGAGTGGCGGGGGGTGGCAAACTACTAGCAATGGCAATAGCTACGCTTCCGGGTCTGTTTTCGACTGCCTGGTGGCTCGCGTTGGGATGTGGCGTGGTCTCAAAAGTGGCAAAACACCTGTGGGTGTCGTGTGAAGTGTACACCAGTTTATGTGTGTGTGTGCGCGTGTTGTGCAATTATACGATATTATGAGTGCAGCGAGTGCGTGTGTATATATATATATACAGAAGGGGTGGCCATGGGGCCTGGGTTTGGGTTTTCCATAAATTTTAGGTAAATGCTAGATAAATGCATTGGTGACACAATCACGACTAAAAAACTGTCATAAATATGCATAAAGGATCAAAAACACATAAGAAAACACAATAAACTTAGGAAAACAAAAAAAAACAAAAAAACAATTCTCAGAGACTCTTGTCTAGACCCCTCAAAATCAAAAAACAAAAAAAAACTTGAGAAAACAAAAAAATACAATTATCAAAGACTTTTGTCTGGACCCTCTTGTCCTCAAGACTTCCCCAGAATTGTTGTTTTTGGTTTTTGGTTGGTTTTCTCAACGTTTTTTGTTTTTTTGTTTTTTCTGATTTTGGAGGGTCCAGCCAAGAGTTTCTGAGAATTGTTTTTTTTTTTTGCTTTCCCAAGGTTTTGTTATTGGCTTTCTCGAGGTTTTTTGTTTTTTTGGTTTTCCTATTTAGGTTAATCTTTGTTATATATTACTATTTCGCTCAACCTTCAAGCATGTGAGCCTAAGTCTCACCTAAAGGCATATGCTCTTTGCTCTTACAACGAAAGCGTCTGAGCCCAACACTCCCTTTGTCCTTGTCGAAATCTCCATGTACAAGTCTGTGCATTAACTTCTGATTGGTATCAATGTGGTTGCCAATTGCATGTCCAATCAGCTTGACATGAAACTGTAATGAAACCTTCCAATTTACATGAAACTGTTATGAATCTGCGTAAGCTGTAGTTCTAATTCAATGCTTGTTGCATTTGCTTCGGCTTTGTAATTTCGAAGCCTCCTCGACTTGTGCATCTTGTAGCTCAAGCGTTTTACATCTTATTCTGGCGAACTTCTAATTTTAATTCCAAATCCTTTCTAATTCAACTCTGATCTAATTTCAATTAGGTTATAGTTGTAGTTCAATACACATTTAGTTGAAATTCGGTTTCAATTCAGTTCTATCTTAGCTCTAACTCAAATCCAACTTAATTGTACCTAATTCTATTCTAGCTCTAGTCTATTTAGTTTAAGAACACACATGCTACAAAACCCCGTGTTTTACAGTTCTTTTTTGCCCTGGGAGTGCTGGGAACAAGACTAAGACTCTTTTTTGGAGTAGATAGTTAGATTTATTTATTTACAGTAATGACTGGAGATGATATAGACATATAAACATGTTTTATGTACAAGCTTCTAATTCAAGAGCTTCCCTCTAGATCTCTGGGGATGATCATTTCTACAATAAAAATATATAAAAGCTTTCATTTCAAAAGCTTTTTCTTTCCTTTGGATCTCTGGAAATGGTCACGTCAATTTAAACATGCTATATATCAATAAATAAGTTTTTCTTTCAAGAGCTTTCCTTTCATGAAAACACACATATATGGGATATCTACTTTCCCAAAAAATCCAGAGGAAAGCTTTGAAAATGCAAGCTCTTACCCGCAGAAATCTAGAAGAAAGCTTTTAACATACAAGGTTTCTATATAGTTGTTCAAATCTGAAAATGATTACCTGCAGAGATCTATAGAGAATCCTTTATAACATAAACGCGTGTATATACAATTTTTCCAAATCTACACATAATTATAAGCATAGATCTAGAGGACAATTGTTAAAGTAAGCACTTTTATGGCCTGCTTCTTTCCTAATTATCTTGTTCAAAACCATCGGAATGACTGATTGCTGCTTCTAAAACAATAAAATGACCCTGACTCAAGAATACACAATATATTTGTTCATATAGAGAGAGCAGGAATAGATTATATATATATATGTGTGTGTGTGTTTATATGGAGAGGGGCTGCCACTGAAGCATTTACCTAACATTTTTGGAAAACCAAAACCCAGGCCCCATGACCACCCGCTCTCTCTCTCTCTCTATATATATATATATACTGTATATATGTATACCTGAGAAGGGAGGGGACGAAAGCCAGCCTCCATAAGAAGACATCAATGTGTCAATGTGGTTGTGGGGTGAATTCGACAACGCACTAGAACTGCTGTCAGGCATGGGGAAATAGAAGGCAGAGAGGCGGAAAGTCTTGCATTTGAGGGCCGATATGATAGGCTCTTTAGATCAAGGCAGGACGTTTACAGTCCGGGGGGATAAAGGTTGAGTTGAGCAGGACATTCACAGGTCGGGGGGGTGCCCTTTTTCTTTTGGTTCAGGCTCAGGGGCGTTTTCAAGCTGAAAAGGGGCACCCCTAAGTAACTGAGGGGCGCTTGCTTGCCTGCCGTTTGTTTCTCCAGTCTTGTACCTGGACTATCCTGGACTCATAAACTCGGCATGCTGCAAGAGTGAGCAGATGAAAGTTTACTGCCAAGATCACGTGATTGCCTAACATGCTGGCCAATTCACACATGCGGCTGCAAGCTGAACAAAGTGCTTTACACTGCATGCAATCAATTGTGTTCCCATTGTTGTGCTTTGGAACAGGCAGTTACAGGCACGTCCCCGGCCACATGCCCTGCATACCACAAATGAGGTCAGCGGCCTTTTTAGTGTGCGCAAATTGTTGAGCCAAGTAGCTGCAATCCCTCTGGGTTGACTGCCGGCTTGGATGCCAAGGTGACATACCAATACCTGAGCAACCAAATGAAAGCTTGACAGCCCTTTGGTTTGAGACTCAACTCTACCCTTGCAGGCTGAAAAATGTGATCATCTGGGATGACCAACCAGCCTGCTTCTCTGTTTCTCTCACATCCTATTGGCTAGTTTACCAATTCGAGTGCAAGCTGTGCAATCCTCGCTCAGAGCCGCTATTCAGCGAAGGCACAATCCGGCCAGCCCCGCAATACCAGCCAGTACAATCAGGCCAAGAAAAACGTTGTCGCTGTGAGATTTGCACTCCTTGCATCACCAATGCATTTGCACTGATCAAAATGATAGAGCAAAAAAGATATGGAAAAACGGAAGGTAGCCCTTTTAAAGGAGGCCTTAATTACCTTCATCTCTGGCTGCACGGCCTGTCCTTGCCCTCCTCTTCCCTCAGGATTGATGCACAGCTGTGACCAGTTTAGGCACTGCCATCTTGTGCATCGTTTCGGAGTGACTTTTGCCGAGCTAGTGCCGAATGACAGTGTGTAGCCGAGCATGCACTTCTTGCAGGTCTCAACCTCAGCAATCCCGTTTGCCATTGCAATGTACTTGGATGTAATTGGGAATCCCACGATGTCTGTCATGGCTCTGAATGGTTGAAGATTCCATCTATATAATCCAATCCAGCGATTTTTCTCAGCTTTAGACCCCTCCTTTTTCTCCAGGTGGGCTGGCCGTGCACTCCGCACAGGCCTCCACTGAGCAGTAGCGACAGTAAGGATTCCTTAGTACACCAGACTTTAACTGACTTGGTTCCGAAACGTGAACCTCAAGGTCTCCAAATCACCTTTCGCGAGACAGGATGACCTGCAATCCTGTCCCAAACAGCAACATCACGTCCTCCAGTTGCCTCTGAGATTCTCAGGGACCTTATCTTTTTCTGGTATCGTTTGGTTGGCCATAGTCCCTGCAGCGCCACACTCCTCCAAGCACGTAGCAAGGCACAGGCACAAAGGCACAGAGAGTGCATCCTGTCACTTCTCGAGTCCTTGGCCTTGACGCACTTGAAATGGCAATACCTCAGAGGTACTTTGGGTGACCACTTACGGTGTACACTGGACATTCCTCGCTTCCAAGCTGCAGGTTGGCATCTGCGAGTTCGGCAGCAAAAGGGCATTCCTCTGGGCAGGCCTCGTGCAAAGTGAAAGGCAGGTTCCACACCATGAAATTTCGTGGAAGTGTCAATGATGTTGATTCGTGCATGGACTGTGATTGCTTCATAGCTAGGGCAGCTAGGGAGGCTATCTTGCTTTATTCAGGATATATATATATGGGAGTTGATCTAAATTCCTTTATCCGGGATCCGTCATTTTCGCCAAAAAAAATTTACTTTCGCCAAACTTTCGCCTTCCTGCGTTTATCTTTCGCCGAAGTACGTTGTATTTGCGAGTGGATCTTAATCAGCGAAGTTTGAAGCTATCACTGACGGTCCATAAGCGGCGTAGCGTCGGAACGGAAACCGCACCTTTTCTAGTCGCTTGATCCTTGAGCCAAAGTACATATGGTACATATATATGTACAAGTTGCACTGTACATGTCGCTGCACTTCCATTCGCACCCCCCATGTGAACGGCAACAATATGTTCCGATCACACACGAAAATTTAGGGATGTAAGTGCTACAAAGAAATTGTATGATTTGCCGCAAGACTCCTATGAGGCTCATACTACGAAACATGCTGGACTAAAGCGGACTTTTACATATAAAGTGTGCAACTATGGCTCAGAACCTTTGAAAAAATCGAATTGAACAAGTGAGACAGTCACGAGGCCTCGCTCAGTATCCACTCAAAAGAGCATCGCTTTGATGTAGATCCGAACTGGTGACTTCCACGTAGATGTCACATCGGCAACTGACTTCACACTTCTCAAAAGATGTAGGTTTTGGTTTGGGTACACTTACAGAACGGCAAGTCGGAGAGACAGTCGGTGACTGTCTGCCTTCCATTATGCTCATGGTATCAAATCAGATTGACGATTTGCAATGATACACTTACAGCGTTTCAGGTCAGATAGACATCCGGTGAATGACTTCCTCCCTGGTTTGCATGGTATCCTCATAGTCGTTCAAAGAAATCACCACTGGCGATAACCTCTCCATCCACGATGATCCCAGCTGCCCTGAGCATCCCGCCGATCATCTTCTCCCTTCTTGGACTTTCCCTTGGACTTGCTCTTTCCCTTCCCCTTTTCAGAAGGTTGAGGTACTTCGCGACGTTCTTGCGTTAGCGCCGGCCTCCAAGATGTTCCAGATTGGCCTCCTCCTTTGGAATGTCCTCGGGATGATGAGGAAGTTGTACCTTCTGCTGCACGCGCGTTGGTGGCAAGATCTTCCTGCAAAGCTTGCTCAAACACATCGGTAGCACTGGATGGTGATTTATCATGTGGTCTGGCTTTTGGAGCAGCCTTCGCCTTGTTCTCCTCTGCTGATGAGGGCCCGAAACTCTTAGGTGCTGTTGAAGGTTTTGGCTCCTCACTTGGTGCTGACGACGGCTTGGCCTCGGTTCTGGGTGTAGATGCTGGTTTTGCCTCAGCTCTTGACGAAGATGCTGCTTTCGCTTCAGACTTAGTCGTTGATGTTGACTTAGCTGTTGCCTTGGCTGCCTGCTTCTTCTTGCCCTGAATTTCCTTGGCCCTATCTCCAAAGCCTAGACGATTGGTAAGAGCTTGAACATGCTTATGTTCTAACACGCTCATCCATCTCTCTGTATGTCCAACGTTGGGGTTTCTGGCCATTGACTCTATGACTTCCTGAGCTTGTGGGGGCAACCTGATTTCATGTTGATCAATGATCAACAGAATAGACTTCTCCCACTTGCTCTTCATTCTCGAGTACATGATGTCCAGAGGATCGATCACCTTGTGGTAGGGTGATGTAATGTCGGTTCTAAAGTAAGAATATGTCCGACACCCATAAATCGCATGGATGCACTTCTGTACCAATTCAGTCATTGCGCTGGCTTTCTTCGCTTTCAACTCCTCAAGCTGGGCATCAGTCAAGTTGGTGGAGTATTCGAAGTTGCCATATTCCTCCTTGAAGGATTGCGGAGTATGACCAAATGATAGGATCACGAGTGCCACCTTGCAAATGAATTGCTCTCCTCTGAATCGGTGCCAGGCCTCCTCAGTTGTAATATTGTTGTCGTTGGCAAAGATTAACATCATATCATCTGTTGGATCCAATGGTCTCCCATCGTCATCGATTTCAGTGGAATCCCCTGTACCGAACTTGCTTATCACATCCAGGCGCTTCCTTTTCCAATTTGCTTTGAAGTCGGTAAGGCTGGTGCAATAGTAGCTCTTGTACATCAGGGAGATCATGTTCAGCACACATTTGACCACATACCTATCCATCAAACCCGATGCATTCATGGAGACGTCCTGACAGTAGGCTCTCTCTTGATGCGCATAGATTCGAGGTTCCGGTACTCGACAATAGATGGGGAGATCTTCGTTGTCTCTTCCTTCTTCGGGATTGAACTCGGTCGCTCCATGCTGTGCATAGTATCCCGGTTCATCACGATCTGTCGGTCGATTCGCCTCCGGATGTAAGTCGTCGGTGACGTCTTCATCCTCGGGCTCGCCATCTTGACGTTTCTTCCCCTCATATTGTTGTGTGCCCCTCTGGATCTCGATGATCACGTTTCGTTCGTCTTCATCTTCTAGATCAGAATCACGACCGTAGTCGATCTCGTCCTCATTGAAAGATGGGGTCTCGACCTTGTCACTCTTGAAGTTCTCTGCACCATCAGACGGTTTGGAAGGATCTGGATTGTCCATGTCCTCGTCGTCATCAGCTGCTTCAGTTTGAGCGATGTCTTCTTCCCAAGCCTTTCTGATCTCGTCCATAGTGGCCTGGTCCAATATATCTTGATCATCATGTTCAGGCTCCCTCTTTTCCTTCTTTTCCTCTTCATCGTCGCTCACAAGATCAACGGGTGAATCGGAAATGACAGTGTTGCGAATACCACACGAGAGTAGCCTGCCTTGACAAGATAGACACACGGACAAAGATGAAGAAGTCAAATGCATACATGATGGACACAAAATATTGCCATCCACGTTGCGATACCCTTCACATGTTCTGGAGATGATTTCGTCCCAAGTTTCCTCACTGATGGAATCCTCGATCATCTCTCCATTGTTATCGAATTGTACTTCATCGATAAGGGACACGAGCTTTTGGACGTTATCATCTGTCGCCGAGGCTGACTTCGTGACTTCGTCGGCTCTCTCGAGGATGGTATGCTTCTGAGCAACCCAAAGTCCATGACGCGCCGCTAGAACAACTTGCTCTCCAGTGCTTCCCAGCAGGAGTCTCCTCCATGCCTGAACGTGGTCGTCCCAATACCAAGCACCTCGTACACATCTCCATGGAACTTCTCTAAAAACAACAGTGTAGGAATTCTCCGAAATTCTTCCCCCAAGCTTCCTCAAAGTCATGATTGGAACATAAAGGCAAACGGGCATTCCCACTCTTGGCCATCTTGATCTCAGAATCTTTGATGATCGATCATCCCACGGCGCAAAGTGGTTGAAGAAAACACTACCTCTATATCCCTCCGTTCCACCAGGGACAATTCCTAGTTTCATGATTGACTCAATATTGGAAAGCGATGTCATGTGAAAGCTTCCTCCAAGCTGCATTGCCACATTCTCTGGAATGAGATGTGAAGTCCACACAGGATATATTGACACATCCTCTTCAAGAACAGTCTCTCTTCCAGAATTGTGAGAGGCAACAGCTCGAATTGCACAAGGAACGATCCAACGTTCATGCTTCAGAAATGACGGTGCGTCTGTGCCGTAAAACATGAGGTTTGCCCAGTATTGCCTTTCCTCTTCGAGTGAGACATCCTCCTTTGAGATGCGAATGGCGGCAATCTGATAGCGTACTCTGTTCTGCAACTTCTTTGCACGCCACATCGCCTTGCATAAATACTGGTATCGCTCTGTCTTGACATCTTGACGATGCCGATCACCTGAGATAGTACTGATATCGACACCATCGTTGAAGACATAGTCATATTCCAGGATCTCATCGATGTTCACCCATCCACCCTCATTGCACTTCGGGGACACATGAGGTTTTCGACCGCGGTGCGATTGAATCCCATTACGCTTCCCCACTCCATGCCTGAGTAGTCTATTGAGTCTATGGCTAACCTCGTTGACCCTCTGACTCTCCTCGCTGAACTTGTCGATGCGAGTTGCTGGGTTCATCTTTGGTGGATCCGTGAAAGTTGCGTCTCTCTTCGGTCCATTCCAGTACTCCACATAGAATGTAACTCCGTACTGTGGAATGATCTCGATGCTTCCTCTATCGCAAGTCACCTCAATCTGCCGATATCCAACCTTTTGAACTTGTTGTGGGTCAGGAGCAAGGTCCTTCACTTTGGGCATCTTTATTCCGAGTGCTGCAGCCTCCTGAATAAGTGCATCAAGTTCCCACTTTCCATTAGGACCTGATCTATCAACCCTGTGATTTGCGACCCTGTACTCTCCTCCTTCTTTGTCATCGGCAATGTCAAAGAGGTCGACGGGCTCTTTGAATCTGGTGACGAAACTGGCGTTCCCAAAGGCCTTCTTGGTTGCCTCGACCGCTTTCGCGTATTCCTCTTTTGCAGAGTCTGACGATTGTGGTCTACCTTTGGCTCTCGGAGAGTGAGGTGGTACCTTACCTCCTAGTTCCGGCTCTTCTTCGGGAAGTTCAATATCTTCATCATCCACATCCATGTAGTCTTCGTCTTCGACGTCTTTGGATGACTTTGCTTTCCTCTTTCGGCTTTCAACATCACGTCGGATGATTGCCTTGTCGTCCTCGGTAAAGCACTTGCGCATAGTTTCCTCCATGTAAGAGAATGAGTTCATCAACTCGTCCTTCTTCTCAGTGTTGGGACAAATAGCCAGGTGACGTTGGTTTGAACCACAACAATAGCACACCTTTTGGCTCACTGCGCGTGCTCTGACCCTTCTGAGGTTGTCATAGGCGGCTTTCCAGTTGGAAGCGGTTGCTGTACCTTGCCCACTGCGCTTGGCAGCTCTTTTCCGTTCTTCAGTATCTGGATTCGATGTCGGGTAGCGCGACCATGTTTTCGTCGGGGATACTGAACGACCTTCCCCATCCTTGTA